GGGGCACAGGTCTCTGCTACTGTTATTTTGTGGGTCAAAAGCTGAAAAGTTTGGGAACCACTGCACTTTGGTTCCCAAAGTTGGGCTTGGGACTCCAGAAATCAATTTAAAGGGTAATAAAATAATTGCTGATGTAATATTTACCCTATAACTTTTACAAAAACACAAAATAAGCATAAATAAGTATTTATATTTGTGTACAAGCTGTTTAGATTGTCAAAAAGCCTGTGTTCTTAGGGTTATTAACAAAGTTAACTCAGAACATAATATTTGGGGTCACGTTTTTGCCATGAATATTTTATGGGTCAGAAGATAAAAAGTTTGGGAACCACTGTTTTAGAGCTTAAAGTTTTTTAAGATTTTACACATTAGTATGTAAATGATTTAAAACTGAAGGAGAATCAGAATGAACAATGCATGTTTGATGCAGCAAAAAAAATACAGGTTTTCAGAGTATAATTCTTTACAAAATGGTGTCATTTAGCAAAAGATCTTGGGTTGTTCTGCTTACTGAGTGTGCAATTGTGCAAACTGTGTGCATTTTATTTTTTTAAAGGGTGCTCTGCTTTTAAAGAAGTGCCAAATTGATTGCAGATAAATTATTATTATTGCTGATAAATTTCAACAAATTGTGTCACAATATCAAAACTGAAAATGTTCAAATCTTTGACTTGAAGCCCTGAACCAAAATAGTAAAGTTTGCCAGTAGAAAGAAGACAAAAAATCCTGAAAACACATTCAGTTCACATGAAGCACAATGCAACAAACTGACAAAACAAAATAATTTATTATTTTCAAACCCAGAGGCAATTTGTGGTCACTACAGACAACTGATGAGTGTTTCCCACAAACTACAGTATACACAAAACCCAATCAGCTCTACAACAACTCACTAACACTGGCAGTAAAATCAAACTAAAGCAAACTATAAAAACAAAAAGTACATCAACATACAATACATTTGCCTTTGTAGCACCATTCATTGTAAAATCCTACAAGAGAAAAAAAACAATTTACACTTGGATGGAGTTTACATTGTTCACAGGTCTGTGTTTCCATGTCTCTGAACATCTGCAGGAGACCACAGCTGGATCTGCAGCTAACAGAAACCTCCAGTTAGCACCAGGAGACGGTTCATCCCCATCTGATTTAGTTTATCAGCTTTTCAGAAAGACTCAGGATATTATTGCATTCTTAATATCATTAAAGTATATTTAAAAAAACAACTGTCCACATGTGAGTGAAAGAGTCTTCCACTTAGAAAGGAACGGGTCCGTAGTAGGCGGTGTACGCTGCCACGATGCCCTCAGTCTCGGCCATTTCATCGCAGGCGTCGTTCAGCTCACACACCTCCCTCAGGCTGCGAGAACAAAACGTGAGGCGTAAGTAGGAGAAGGAACTGACAGAGTAATTGCTGTAAAGATCGATTCAAATCAGAGCGAACGACAGGTTGGATTTGCTCCTGCTGATCGTACCTTTCCTGCTGCAGAGGACTGAGGGTTCCTCCTGCAGCTCTTCGTCTCCTCAGAAGAACAGAGGCGACGTCTCTCTTCATCACTACATGAGACGCTAAAGGAGGGAAAGGGACAAGACTTGAGTTTTTAGGTTTCTTATTGTTTTGCATTCATAAAATGTGAACTAGAAGTATCCAAAGAAACTCAGGGAAAGCAGGGGGATACCTTCAGCACTGGCTGACTCTGATGAAGAGGAGGAAGAAGAAGAGGAGGAGGCAGCAGAGTCAGAGGCAGAGGAGTCGGAGGCAGAGGAGTCAGACTCTGACGAGGCGGACTCAGAAGACTCGGCGGAGGAGGACTCGGAAGACTCTGAGGATTCGGAGTTTGAGTCGGAGGCTGACGAGTCGGAGCTCGAGTTGGAGTCGGATGCTGAGGAGTCTGATGAAGAGGAGTCAGAGGAGGAGGCTGAGTCGGATTCAGAGGAGGATGCAGCGGCAGCCGCAGGGTCAGCGGCTGTGTCAGCAGCAGGATCCACGACAACCTCGGGCTCCACGGCTGATCAGGGCAGAAAAAGGAAAACTTGTTTTAGGTTCTTTACGTTATTGATTCTCACAAATAACGAGCAGAGTTTGTCCTCACCTCCCATGGACCAGCAGACTGACAGAAGAGCGCAGACGCAGACCAGAATCAGGGTCTTCATGATGATGTTTCTTTGTGAGCTTCTCGCTGCTTTTCTTACTGAGCTTCTTTGCTTCCTTCGAAGTCTTGTTGTGTTTCTAACCCCTGAAACCAGGTCAATATATAGTGCAGCCCTGCTCTGCTGTCCAGTCCAGAGCCACACATGACCTCTCTGATTGGTTGGAGAATCAAATATCACAGCTTCCGCTTCCACTTGTCATTTAAGGCAGCCACTAACACCCACACAGCCGCTGGCACCGGGTCCGAAAACGACACGACCACAAACATTCCTGTTGTGTCTGCACACACAGCACACGCTACAGCATGTAAACGTGTGCATGTATGAAACATGTTATGTGACCACGGGGACAAAAGAAGACCGACCAACCTCCCCGGTTGAGTTCATACAATAAACAGCTTTAGATGGGAACATGATGTCCAAATGAGTTTTAAAACATCTTAAAATACCTGGGAAAAGAAATGTGCAATCTTTTTGTCTCCACCTGTCAATCATTCTGCGGGGTCAAACGGATCATTTTTAAAACTTGTCTCGTTTGCCAATCATTCTCTTCAAATTCTTCACAAACCTCATTCCTCTTCACTGTGGTGTAAAAATTCCAGCGAACTGGGATGGCAGCGTAACAACGCTTCTTTAAAATTCCTAGAAAATGTCGTTGGATTCAAAAAGGTGGGGGCTGCAGCTCTTATATTAGGACTGCCATTTGTGCCTTTGCTGTTTTGTTGCTGTACTCTTTGCCTCGGATGTGATCTCCCACCCCCACGAAACCCCAAACCACAGCCTGAGGCCACCACAGCCTACTAATCGAGCGACACGGGACAGCAGTGAAGCTCGTTATGAGACGGGGCTTAATTAGAGCTCTACAGACTCCCACAAGAACCGCAGTCGGTGGCTAAATCCAGACCCGGTACAGGACACATCCAGGACATGCGGCCGTGGCTTGCAAACTGGCAGGCCTGTCAGACGGCCTCACTCGAGGTATTTCAGCGTATACAAAATGTAAATTTAGGCAACCCCCATGTTGCTGGATGCAACCTGTGGCTTTGGCCGCTGCGTTCTGTTTGTAGGTTATGGTTCACAGCTGGGGGGGTTTTGCTCGATAAAAATAACGTTTAAAGTTGTCAAGTTTGTGCAATGTTATAATGTAATTGTCGAGACGACAAACCATCCACACTTGGCTTCATGTATGAATGCGTCTGAGGACCCCCAGCCAGCTCATCTGTCATGTCTGCAGGGTGACCTCCATGTCCTCCGTGTATCACAGCGCAGCGTTATTCCTGGTATCAGTGATTTGTTTTGGACCGTGTGCTGTGTAATTTCAATGTCTGGTTCTGGGTCCGTTTTTGCGGATGCCGTTCAGTATTTGGAGGACGCAGCAGGAGAAAACAACTGCAACAACATCCTCGAAGGGTCAGGAAATACAGTGTCTCTGGAGCATTTCTGTTGCGGACTTGTTTGTGTTGGAGCTCGCCAACAAGTCATTTTTTGTTCGACTTTTTGTTTTCCAGGTTCCTGCTGGACGTTCGGCCCAGGGAACCAATAAACTGACAGAAACTGTGAATATCCTGTTATTCTTTTATTTAATGAATGTCGCTCAGGCATCACAGCTAAATCACAAGATGTAACTCAACTACTTTTATAGTTTGATTCAAAAAGTAATATATCCCTGTAAAAAGCTTCATAGCATTGATCTACTCTATTGATGAGCACAAGACAAAAAAGTGGTGAAAACAAAGCCCTGTTTAGTTTAGTTATTTTTACTTTAATTTTAAATATATTTAGCTTCAGTTTCTTTTAGTCATCTTAAAAATATATGTTTTACAC